TGATTTGGGTGAAGATTTACAGAGCAAATTCACTTTCCATACAGCAGTTCACATATACTTTGTCTCATGTCACTGACCACAGTTTACCACAATACAACAGCTCCCCTCCCACTTCCTCCCCATAGTTACCTCTTCCCAGTGTCCATCCCTCCATACTCTCCTGCCCCCTGAGCTGTCTCCCTGTGCATAGTATGTGGCCTTTTGTGACTGATTTCCTTCACTTAGCATATTTTCAAGGCTTATCCACATTGTAGCATGTGTCAATACTTCATTCTTTTTTATAGACAATAATATTCCATTGTATGGATATGCCATACTTGCTGTTACAACTTTTCATTTAATATCTCTTATAATGTTTCCCATTCAATACATACAGACCCATCTCACTCTTTTTAATCATAGCACAGTATTACATAATATTGATACACTCTTATTTCCTTACTGATAGACCCTTACACTACTATCAATGTTTCCTGTTACAACAAATTATATACAATATACCTAACATATATAGAGAGAGAGGGAAGAGCCAACTGTCTTGGTAGAAGGAGGGTCCTGCTTTCAGAACAGTGTTTCTCAAAGTGTGTTCCCTGGACCTGCAACATCACCTAGGAACGTGTTAGAAATACAAATTCTTGCTCCCCACGCCCAGAATTTTGGATTCAGAAACTGGTGTTGGGGCCCAGTGCTTGGTGTTTTACCTAATCCTTCCTATGATTCTGATGCATGCTAACATTTGAGAACCACTGGGCTATATCTCTCTCACTGCACTGCAATACCTTTTGTTCTTCAGTTTAAAGTAGGTTTCAAAAATTAGCAGCACCATAATAATTGGTTTTAACAAACCAATGGCATGCATAAGGAGCTCTGGTGGCTAGTTCCTAAGGCATCCGTCTGCTAACCAGAAGGTTGGCGTTCAAACCCACCAGCCACACTGTAGAAGGAAGATGGGGCAATCTACTTCCACAAAGATTTACTGCCTCAGAAACTCAAGGGGGGTTGCTATGAGTTATATCATCAGCTGAAGGCAGTAGCACTGGATTTTTGCTTTTATTGGCATGGATAGGGCAAGAAGTATAGTGAATCGGCAAGGTGGTCCCTTTCTAATTTTTCTATTGTTTAAATTTTTCTGTAGAAAAAGTATTTTAATACAGAAACTTTCTCCTCTCATGTTTTTCCTATCTGCTTGACCCCTTACTCTCTCTTCTCATAGCCTTAACAAACAAAAATTAAAACATTTGCATAGTATTATGATACCAGGGAGTCACTGGTTAGCACAAGCAATTAAGTGCTTGACTATTAGCTGAAAGGCTAGTGATTTGAACCCACCCAGAGACACCTCAGAAGAAAGGCCTGGTGATCTGCCTCTGAAAGGTCACAGCCTTGAAAACTCTATGGAACACGAACCATGGCCGCATCTACTCTAAGACCAGAACAACTGCATGGTGCCCAGCTACCACTACTGACTGTTCTAATCAAGGCCACAGTAGATGGACCCTGACAGAATGGGAGAAAAATGTGGAACAGAACCTCAAATTTCTAAAAAAAAAAAAAAAAACTTATTGGACTGGCTGAGACTGGAGGACTCCTTGAGGAGACTAATACACTGAGATGCTTTTTAAACTTTGAACCAAAACTAACCCCTGAGATCACCTTGTAGCTAAGTAACAGACTGACACAAAATAATGAATATCACCTGTAAGTACTATATTCCTTTAAAAAAAAACACCTACCTATATGAGACCAAACAGTGAACAACCACTTTAAAACAAAGATGAGAATGTAAGGGGGCAGGGAAACTAGATTAATGGAAACAGAACCACCAGAGGGAAATAATACTAGTGTTCACACATTGTGAAGAATGTAACCAATGGCCTTGAATAATCTGTGCAGAAATTGTTGAATGGGGAGCTAACCTGCTGTGTAAACCTTCACTGGAAGCACAGTAAAATATTATTTCTTTAAAAAAGAAAAACCTACTCTGCACACATGGGTCGCCATGAGTCCAAATAAACCCTACAGCAACTAACAACAGCAAGGAGATGGGAAGCTTTTCCTTGTCACTCTCACATTTCTATTCTGATGATACCCACATGACACTGGGCAGCCTTCCTTAGAACCCAGCACCCATTAGAAATGTGAGAGACTCGTCAAGAAGAAAGAAGAAAATCAAAATTAATGGAAACAATCAGTCCTAGCGACTGGTATACCATCCGATCTGCAACCTATACAACTATGAGACCAGAAGAACTAGATGGTGCCCAGCTACCACTGCCATCCACTTGGAAGGG